CACAGCTACAGCATCCTCCCCTCCTTTCCCTTGCCTGCTTTTTTATGAATGGGATGCCCTGTTGGTCAATCTAATAAAGGTCTTTTCATTATACTTTCTCTCTATGTCAGATGGCATTTAGAGAGGTTAAAGGAGGGAGAGTTTCAGAAAACGCATGGCATTTTCCCATCGGCTACTGTTATGATAGCACAGATTAATGTGGCAAGTATGATGCATAACAGTTCATCAGCACATTTTCGGTGCACATAGGCAGAAACACATTAAATGATACATTTTCTGTGAGGGTGAGATTTGGGCTCTTGAGTCCCATTACAACATCCACTGCAACTCTATTGTCAAAAATTCAAAGGGGTTCTTTGCAAACATCTTTTGACTTAAAAATAAATAAATAGCCAAAGCTAAACCCTAACTTGAATTTTATTTTCTAGGAATGTAAAAAATAAAATAAATGACATGGGTCTAACCGAGGCTGGCACTGCCACTCTCTTCTATTTTTGTCAGTCTTTCACAGCTGTGGTTGCAATGTAGTAGCAATTACGGTAGCCCAAGCCAATAAACCATTCTGGGGAAAGGAAATCAGTTTCCTTAGTTTGTCTGACATTGCCCAGTTTGGGGCATTCCACCAGCTACTCCTCAGTCATAGAACCTCTTAACAGATACAGGATGAATCATATTTCATTCTCAGACTCCTTTGAAAACAGGGGTTGGAACCAAAGCTTCTGAGTAATTAAAAAAGAAGAAGAAGACAAGAATATCCTCCCATGGTGAGCCACTCTATGCCGTATCAAGCCACGACTTGGCCTGCACACCTCTGTGTCTGAAAACAAGGGAGACTCTTTTGAAGAGTCTCACTGTTTATTTGCCTGGATCCCTCTGTGCAGACAGACAGCCCTGAGAAACTTCTGTACACATGCTACAGATGTTTTCCTGTCTGCCTTTTCTTTTGGCCGAATGTGTCTGACCTCTAACATGCCCACAGGGAAGGGAAACCAAAATAAAACACATATACAAAATGCGGGGATCAGCGGCTGGGCGGCAACACTGCTCTGAAGGCTCTGGACAGGGTAGTAGATTACAAACTGAACATGAGCCAAGTATAATAGTGGGTGCGACGACGTTACCCAGAAGGCAGTGCCATTTTTAAGCCCCATAAGAAAATGCAAGAATGAGCAAGCCATCCGAATGTTGTAGCCTTTGGGAAGACTTGTCTGGAGAAATCTGAGTCTAGAAGGGAACATGACATTGAAAGATGGAGGCTGAGCTATTTTTTGCACAGTGTAACTTGGAAAGCAGTGCAGGTGTTTGAGAAGCGGGGGAATGGTTTGAAGGAAAATTAGGAAAACAGCATATACAACTGTGCACATTCTGCATTGAGTAGGGCAGGCAGAGATTTCCTTCCTGTCCTGAGTTTGTTGCAATCAGCTCTGTTTCTTTTCTGCTACAGTTCAGCTTCTGCTAAAACCTACATTATCTGTCTCACTCGTGGCTGTGATCGAAACGAATGCAATTAACTAATTTCAATACTTTTCAATGGAAGGGAAATGTCAAAAACAATGCACACCTAAGAATTTTTGGGAGATGATTGTTCAAGGTCTTTGCAGCTATTGTTGGATATGTGGTGCCTTTTGATCCACGTTTAAGTCTTTTGGGAAACACGGAAAAGGATATTCAATCAGAACACATAACGACAGTAGGAAATTGGCTGAGAGCTGTAAGAGTTTTCCTGGCCACTAACTGGCCAGGAAACACCTCAAATACCCTTGATGATGGAATGGATGCTAAAATATTGTGCAATAGTTAAACTAGTGGAGATAGTTGGATCAAGGGAAGGGAGATTGGAAAAGAAGCAGTTTGAAAGATCATAGTACTCCTTTTTTCATTTATTTAAACCAGCAGTATAATCTACAGGTTTTTTATGATTTCATGCTGCTGAGATGAGCAACATAAGGAATTCATCATTTTGAATGCTGCAATATTAGGAAATATTTAGGAATTGGCTATGAATGATCTAACAAAAGCTGGATCTGGAGCAGGTATCATTTGGGCTCTCCTTCCAAAAGCAAAAATGCGTGGGCACAATTTTCTAAAACAAGCCATCAAGACTGTGTGGGGTACAATCAGTGGCGTAGCGTGGGTTGTCAGCACCCGGGGCAAGGCAAGTAATTTGTGCCCCCTAACCCGTGGATTTGCGCCCCCTAACCCTAACCCCAGATGTTGCGCCCGGTGCGGCCGGCCCCCCCTGCACCCCCCACGCTACGCCACTGGGTACAATTGTGCATAATACATGCTTACACCTTTAGTAGACCCTGGTCTCCTTTTCAGAATTAACACCCATTTGCAGCACGCTGCAGCTCAGGCTTTCCCCTCCTGTTTCAGAGGTTTAAACTGGGTAGCTAGACCTGGACAGTTTCAATCTCACCTGCTGAGAATATCAGCTTTCTGGTGTTTGGTGGGGACAGAGAACTCTTACAGTGAGCTTAATTAAGCATGGACTGTTTGACTTAGCTGGGTTTGGACTGCAATAGGTTATTTTTCCTGGCTGGGAGCCAACCAAGTAAAGTTTGTCTAGGATAAGTAGAACAGCCAGCCTCCATCCTGCTGCACCCATTCATGAGTGTCTGAGCCACTCCATGGAATGTTATAGTTTTTGAAGTGGGGAGATCCTCGAGTCCTTTCTCTGTTTTGCGTTGTCTCTAAATGGAAACTTTCTGTGGGATCTTAGCTTTCAAATCAGTGATAACCACCCCACCCCGAAGCTAACGCCAATACCAGTCAGTTACTGCACTGTCAGGAAAAGATTAATGTTGCGTCAGGGTGCGGAGGGCCTTGTCTTCCATTATTCAGCATCTCCCAGCATTGCATTGCATTTTAAAATGTACACTTGGAATGCCATAGGGATGTGACTGAAATGTAATGTATGGAGGCAGTGCTTTTTTTCTAAAAAAAATGTTTAGGGGTACTCTCATTTTCCTACCCGTATTGAAATACTGCCCCTCACTGAGGCCAAACGTAGATTTACAAAATGTTTCGGGGTATGCTTACCACTGTGTCCCGCCAGAAAAAAAACAACCACTGCCCTTAACCAATTACGGTTATCAGGATTCTTTTTTTGGGGGGGGGTTGCCATAAGTATTCTTTAAATGTATGCTGTTGGTGTGACCTTAGAGAGAGAGTTGTGAGCAGATGAAAATATTAGCAGGATTGCAATAACACTTGGAATGTGGCAAATACTATGGAGATAATGGATTTATATACAATATGGACTATTGAAAAAGATGCAGTAGAAAAGGTTTAATAATAGATCCAGTGCTTTTTTTCCCTAAAAAATAATAATATATGTTTAGGGGTTATGGTGAATTGAATTATGGTGCTGGAGGAGACTCTTGAGAGTCCCATAGACTGCAAGAAGATCAAACCTATCCATTCTTAAGGAAATCAGCCCTGAGTGCTCACTGGAAGGACAGATCCTGAAGCTGAGGCTCCAATACTTTGGCCACCTCATGAGAATAGAAGACTCACTGGAAAAGACCCTGATGTTGGGAAAGATGGAGGGCACAAGGAGAAGGGGACGACAGAGGACGAGATGGTTGGACAGTGTTCTCGAAGAGACCAGCATGAGTTTGACTAAATTGCGGGAAGCAGTGGAAGACAGAAGTGCCTGGCGTGCTCTGGTCCATGGGGCCACGAAGAGTCGGACACGACTAAACAACTAAACAACAACAAATGTTTAGGGGTACTTTCATTTTCCTACTCATCTTGAAACACTGCCCCTCAATGAGGCCAAACTTAGATTCACAAAATGTTTAGGGGTGTGCGTACCCATGCGTTACCCCCCCCCCGAAAAAGCACTGTATGGAGGTGACAAGCTCATGTTGAGAAATACCTATAACATACTGTGGGGTTTGTCCGTTCGTTTGAAAATGTCTGTACAGGGGAGAGAGAAAGGGTTAAAATGTAGACCAATAGGAAAACCGGAGGCACAGCTTACCTGTTTATAAAAGGGCTTACCCGAGGTTTGGGTGTGGGTAATTGGTTGGTTTTAGTGGGTTGGTTGGTTGGGAAGGGCAGTTGGAAAAGCAGTTGGCAGGCAGTTGGAAATAGAGAGACAGTTAGTGCAGTGGGTTCTTATGTGAGGGGAGGTAGAAGAGATAGAGACAGGATAAAATAAGACTAAGAAGGTGAAGAGTAACAAAATTTTGGAATGCAGTTAAAGTTTGTTTGTGTCTGCAATAAACTACACTCTACTTTGTTAACTTGAGAACCTGACTGAGACTAAGTGATTTACCAGGGAGGACCTGGTTGGTGGCAGCGGGTTAGTGGTGTACAGGTCACTAGTTCGTGAGACGACCGGGGGCTCCATACGAATGCCACACATACCATCACACATGGTAGGGAGTCAGGGTTGACTGCAGCTCCCTGTCAAATGTTCATCTGAAGCCAAACCCGGCTTTGCACGGCGTAATGTGTGAAACAGCCCTCAACTGCTGCTCAGTTGAAGATCTTGCTGGAATCTTCAGCGAGGAAGCTTCATTTTCTAATTTCTGCAAAGGAATGTGCTTTGAATGCAGAACTATCAAAACAGGAGAGCAAATGGGAGTCATGAACACAGGAATACCATTGGTGATGGTTTTAAAATGGGATGAGACAGTTGTGGCAAGCTTTCTCTCATTCACTGTTGAAAGTCAGCCTGAGTGAAAGTTATTGGGCCAGGCTCCTCCACCCCCCACCCCCAGTGATTTGATGGGAGTTGGATGAAAGTAGACTCTGGGGGATAAATTATCTGCATTTTTCAGGAGCCACAAAGGGCACGTTTCTCTTCTGTTGCTTAGACCAAAAAGTAATATTTACTGCTGTTTAAGCCATGGTAGAGTTTTCCGGTACCCCAGCAGCATCTGACTTTATTGACAAACAGAAGATCATGGGAATGATTCAAATTTTGTTCAAGGGACAGCCTACGGTTCAATGCCTGAGGAACAATGCCACATTAAAAATGAAGGGAGATGCCGGTGAGGTGCCATGACTTGCAGCAATGACAAAGGGTTTATTTATTTAAAAAGAGGGAGAGAAAACCTTACTTTCTGCTACCTCAGTTAAAAGATACCCCCACCAGAAAATTCAGTACCTCCACCCCCAATTTTTTTAGACACTTCCTCCCCACCTTTGCGACCAGGATTTAGTTGAAATCTATATTTTCTACCTCAAAGTTTAAAAATGAACAAATCATCCGTATTTATCAATCTTTCAAAAAATGTAAATGCTCACGCAATTGGATGCTGGGTATCTGGCAATTCATCAGATTTAAACTAGATTGCTTCTGTACATGTCTCATGATGTGCTCAGTTTCTCATCTATTTGTGTCACAGGCTGAATACACATGGTCACCTCCAGACATTTTGTCTACATTCAGAAAGAACAGTAGATGCATCCTGGCGCCGCCCACAACAGCCACACTGAATTCAGGATGTCAGAGATTGGGCAGCTGTGTGTAGGATGTTGAAGACAAGCTCAATAGCCATGGTTCTTGCCTCTCTCCTTGTGTAGGCTACACACGTGGAGGCAACTGTGTGTCTTTTCCTACGAAGGGCTTTGTACCATGCTCTTCAAGATGCCTTGGGGCAAAGATGCAAAAACCATTGATCAGAGGTGATTCTTGTTATTACTGCAGCTGTAAGATATGCCACTATGAGCAAATGAAGTGTGGCAAATCCTGATTCACCTGACATACAGTGGTACCTCGGGTTACAGATGCTTCGGGTTACAGATGCTTCAGGTTACAGACACTTCAGGTTACAAACTCCGCTAATCCAGAAATAGTACCTCAGGTTAAGAACTTTGCTTCAGGATGAGAACAGAAATTGTGCAGTGGTGGCGCGGCAGCAGCAGGAGGCCCCATTAGCTAAAGTGGGGCTTCAGGTTAAGAACATTTTCAGGTTAAGAACAGACCTCCAGAACAAATTAAGTTCTTAACCCGAGGTACCACTGTACTCAGAGAATAACACTGGTGTGAACTGGCCTTATTTTCTTCAAATTGCATGAGAACATCTATAATATTTAGCTAAGCAGCCTTGATTTGCTTGTTTAGATTAATCGAATGCTGTCTACATATGGTTATGAGGAAAGCTTAGAACGGAACTGAATAATTAAGAGTTTGAGAAAACAAGAAGTCACAAAACAGGAACTCTTCTGAAATACAAACCACTAAATGGTTTGACTTGAGACCATGTTGCTCCAATAACACTGCTATTATTGGAGTTGCACTGCAAGAGTTGCGCTGGGTTTTCTAAGAACAAGCAGGTGGGTAGAACAAGTGCATAGAATGACAGTCAGTGTTTGCTTGGATAGCAGACAAATGTCCAGTGAATGCAGACACAATCAAAGCTGTTCTTTTGCCCAGTAAGAATGCTAATTATACTGCCTTTGAGTTTCATAGGGTAAAGTACACTCTGTTCATGGGAAAAACCCTCCACACTTTGAGATAGCCTCCCATTGAGTCAGAAATTGGCAGCAATGACACCAGCCCTTTTGTCTCTGGTCTGACCCTAAAACGGTTTCAGCAAAAAGGGGTCATGGCTTTGGATCTAGAAGGAAGTAGGAGAAGGCAAATTATATGGAGAATTCTGTCTGTACCAGGGTTCCTTGGCACCCTCCACTGTGCCCCAAATCTTCACCTTTTCCCAGTTCAGTCAAAACAGATTAGAGGGTATCAGGGATACATTGCAGTTTGGAAAAGTGGGGCAACAGCAAATTACTGGAGCAATGACTTTAAAACAAAGTTGTTGCAGAGTTTCTAATGGAGCATCATTCCTTGCCATGCCCAAATGATAGGTTCATGTGGTCACCTTAAGAGATGACCCACAGCCTCCATTTATCATTTAAAGGTCAAGGTAAAGGGACCCCTGACCATTAGGTCCAGTCGCAGAGGACTCTGGGGTTGTGGCGCTCGTCTCGCTTTATTGGCCGAGGGACCCAACATTCGTCCACAGACAGCTTCCGGGTCATGTGGCCAGCATGAGTAAGACGCTTCTGGCGAACCAGAGCAGCGCTCGGAAACGCCATTCACCTTCCCGCCGGAGCAGTACCTATTTATCTACTTGCACTTTGACGTGCTTTTGAACTGCTAGGTTGGCAGGAGCTGGGACCGAACAATGGGAGCTCACCCCGTCGTGGGGATTTGAACCGCCGACCTTCTGATTGGCAACCTAGGCTCTGTGGTTTAACCCACAGCGCCACCTGCGTCCCGCTATATATTAGAATCTTGGAAATTACGGTACAGGTGTCATTTCCCTTCAAATCTGCAAACCTTTATACTGCAGACAAAACTTTAATGAAGGTTTGGGTGTGCTCCACCCAAACTGAAGCACTCCAAGGTTCTATTGATCTCATTGGGAGAGCTATATTACAATCCTATATATGCCTACTCAAAAGTAAGTCTCATTAAATTCATGGGGCTTGTTCCCAGGAAAATTGGTATAAGATTGCAGCCTTTGGCACCTGTTTAATTTCTCCCTTTGAATCTAGTGGGGCTTGAAAGGCTGCAATCCACAGAATGACTCGTGAGTCTCTGATTTGACTTGAAACATCTCGTTAATACAGTGGTACCTCAGGTTACATACGCTTCAGGTTACAGACTCTGCTAACCCAGAAATAGTCCTTCAGGTTAAGAACTTTGCTTCAGGATGAGAACAGAAATCGTGCTTTGGCGGCGCGGCAGCAGCAGGAGGCCCCATTAGCTAAAGTGGTGCTTCAGGTTAAGAACAGTTTCAGGTTAAGAACAGACCTCCGGAATGAATTAAATACTTAACCTGAGGTACCACTGAAGTGCCATCTGACCCCTTCCCCTTTTGTTGCTACAGGTGTCCCAGAAAGTTAATTTTCATTGCTTGGGGTTGATGTTCATGAGCTGCCTTATGACTCTGGATGACTGTCACAGGGACAAGTACAGGTGAGCATAGCTACTTCTGTTCTAATTACCTTCTCTCTTCCTCTCCAAGTGCTGGGTGCTTCCTCCTATCCTTCCTCTCTTCTTCCGTAGTTTCCTCTCGGCTGTTCTGCTGCTGCTTTGCCCATCAGTTGCTGCCTAGTCCATCTCTTCTCTCTACTCTGCCCTCAACCTGGGATGGTTACTGCACTTTGAAGGCTCACCATTGAATTTGGAGTGCCAGACAACACTTGCACCTACCATCTGCACACACAGCTTGCTGTGATCTGTTTATTTCTTACCCTCTCCTGGCCATTGAGACCTCGTGAGGATGCTGCCTCCCTGAAGGAGAGAGAGAGACTGGCCATTGTGACCTCATGTTGATAGTGGCCAATGAAGGAGTGAGACTGGTCATTGTGTCCTTGTGCTGATGTTGTCCACCTGAAGGAGAGGGATTGGCCATTGTGACCTCATGTTGATAGTGGCCAACTGAAGGATAGAAACTTGTCCACTTGAAGGAGAGAGATTGGCCATTATGATCTCATTCTGGTGCTGATAACAATGTGAATGATGAATAATAATACAGGGCATTATAGGGGCATTATTTGGGAATTATACGGACAGAACTACCCAAACTGTATAGAAATTTATTCATGTATTAGACTACAGCAGCAAGAATGTTACTTGCCCAAAAATGGAAGGAAGAAGAAGTCTCATCAAAAGAAGAATGGATACAAAAACTTATGGAATACGCAGAAATAGAAAAACATAGCGGAAAAATAAGAAATCAATATCACAAACTTTTTATAGAAGAATAGAAATGGTTTGTTGAATATTTACAGATAAATTGTAATCAGATAAGAACATTGGCAGAATTATTGTAACAACCTGCAGTTTCCTAAGAGTATATATTTAAAGTAGATGAATCAATGAGCAAATTAAGTTGATTAGGATATGCAGAAGATATTAAAAATAAATTTAAGGAACCGCTGAAAGAGAAGGAAGGAATTCAAGTATTGAAATGTTAAAAGGATTGTAAAATTAGTGAAATGTATAAAATTGAATAATAATAATAATAATAATAATAATAATTCTATAACATTCTATAACAAAATATATTTTGTCTTCCAGTGAAAGCAGGGAAAACAAGCTTCCTGAGGAATCTGTCAAACCTTCAGGCGCATTAGTCCTTTGTTGCTTTGTTTGCTTCTGCAGAAAACCAGGGACCTGCATCAGGCTGGACTCTGAATTGGTTCTGTGAGAAACAAACGGGAGATTGGGGTAGGGGGTGGGTTGCAATAGCAAATGTTCTGACATGAATTGCTGCCCTAAAGGGGCCTGGCCACCAGGTTGTTTCACATAAAGCTGTAAACAGTTACCAGATGAGCAATAAAAGCAACTTCCCAGAACAGCAGATCAGCTGCAAGCTTGAGTCAGTGCATTTTCAGGATAAGGAGGCATGGAGTAGAAGCCTGCCCCACCCCCAAGTTGTCCTTACCTGGAACAGTTTGTTTCTGCTATTGTGTTTTGGTCAAATGAACAGGGGGGAAAAATGCTAGCCATTTAAGATGGCCTTAATGTGGCTTTGAAGAGGGGTGTGTACATCAGTTTTACCCATCTGCACATGTGATGAATTGTTCTAATGATCAGCAACTATATCAATACTTATAAGGAAGATGATTCCACAATGAATTTGCTAGTCTTTAAGGTACCAAGGCTCCAGCTCTTTCCATGCATTGTTTGCATGTAGGACATGGTAGTCTAGAAAAAATGCCAAGGCAGAATCTGATCTGAACATGTCAAACCACTGAGACCCTTATAGATACAACTACAATTTCAAAAAGCCATACTCCAAAATGGATGAGGAACAAATACCCTAAATCAGTTGTAGAAATCTAGACAACATTCAAAAAGTAAAAAATTGTTGCCCAGTATTATTCTTATTATTTTACATTTGTATACCGCCCTATACCCGCTGCTCTCAGGGTGGTTGCAACATAAAATCACAATACAGTGGTATCTGAGGTTACAGACTCTTCAGGTTACAGACTCCGCTAACCCAGAAATAGTACCTCGAGTTAAGAACTTTGGTTCTGGATGAGAACAGAAATCGCACGACGGCAGTACGGCAGCAGTGGGAGGCCCCATTAGCTAAGGTGGTACCTCAGGTTAAAAACAGTTTCAGGTTACGAACGGACCTCCAGAACGAATTAAGTTCTGAACCCGAGGTACCACTGTATAGAAAAACAAAACAAAAACAACCCAATCAACCTCCCCATCTGCAACATATTTTAAAAGAGTACTGGATGCCAATCAGCCAAAGGTCTGGTTAAAGAGGAATGTTTCTGCCTGGCACCCAAAGGTATATAATGAAGGCACCAGCTGAACCTCTTGGGGAGGGGCATTCCACAGATGGGGAGCCACTGCAAAAAAGACCCATTCTCATGTTGCCACCCTCCGGACCTCTCAAGGAGGAGGCACATGAAGAAGGGCCTCAGAAGATGATCTCAGGGTCAAGGTAGGTTCATATGGAAATCCTTAGTTAAGGCAGACATCTCCGATGGTGGAATTAAATTTTATGCTAATGTGACCTTTAAAGCCCTAAATGGCCTCGGTCCAGTATATCTGAAGGAGCGTCTCCAACCCCATCGTTCAGCCCAGACACTGAGGTCCAGCGCCGAGGGCCTTCTGGTGGTTCCCTCACTGCACGAAGCCAAGTTACAGGGAACCAGGCAGAGGGCCTTCTCGGTAGTGGCATCCTCCCTGTGGAACGCCCTCCCACCAGATGTCAAAGAGAACAACTACCAAACTTTTAGAAGACATCTGAAGGCAGCCCTGTTTAGGGAAGCCTTTAATGTTTGATGCACTACTGTATTTTAATATTTGGTTGGAAGCCGCACAGAGTGGCTGGGGAAGCCCAGCCAGATGGGCGGGGTATAAATAACAAATTATTATTATAATAATCGCTCTGTCAGTGCAAATGTCTCTCCCTTCCTCCTGGCCTGGGGATTCTCTTGACTCCCTCAGAGCTGATGGCATGAAGAGGGAGCAGAAGGGGGAAAGACACTGTTGAGTTAGTGGGGCTAGTTGTGCCGACTTCTGCTAGTGCAACTGTTCAGCTGAATCCGGCCCATAGATATATTTCATTGGAATACAAGCATACAATGGCTTAGCTCAAAGGCCGTTCACCTGCAGATGGCTAATTTGCAATTTCAGTGATTTTCTGCAGTGCTATCAAAGGACAAGAGAGAAATAAATAATTGCTTTTCATACCAGGTGCTTGCTGAGCGGAAAAAGTTATTTGGACTCTGAATATCTGAATCAGAACAGTGTGAAATTCTATTTGAAGTTATCCCAGATGGTCATTTGTGAAATAAAAACTTCAATTTAATGTGCCAATTCAGTGTTACGGAGGCAGAGAATGTGTCACATTTGGATTCTCTATAGCATTGGCACAATTTCCCTTCTAAGTGTCTGTGAAATGTTTTTGACTACTTATAAAACCCATCCTTGCTCATTAATGTAAAATAAATTTTGAAGCCATCACAATATGTTTCTCACATTGATTCAAATGAATAAGAATTGAAACCCGAAAGCAAAGCAGCCCAGTCATGGAATATAAATTAATTCTGGATTTGATTTATTGAATACATACTCTGACTGAAATGTTCTCCATTTGTCAGAATCAGAGAATTGAATCACAATAGGCTGCACTCAGATAACACTTTATTCCATGTTTTTGACATTTCTTGACCTGATAATTTTTGCATTTTATGTGATCTTTCACATCACATAAAAGCCACTCGTAGTTGAAGTTTAGCATTCATATTTGTGTTAATTGTTTCCAGAAAAAAACCCTGCTTGCCACACTGTTAACTCAGAAAACCATGGGAATTTTGTGTTGTGATTTCACATGGCAAAATGCAACAGGTGGGAATGTAAAGGAATGTTGGAAATTGGGACAGAAGTGCTAGCATTACAATCAATAAAAGCAGTTCACATTTTAATGCAAAGTTCCCTAATTCCCTCTTCCTGAAACAATTCATGAATCGAAATGCAGCTTGTCCATTGAACTTCTCTGAATTTTGCTATGTAGTTCTCCAACCAAATAATGTAAACAAAGAAATGTTTGGTGGGGTAAATGTATGTAAAAATGCATATATTTCAGGAAATTGCTTGCAAAGGTGTGCATATTAGGGAAAACTGCATACCAAAATATGTATAAGGAGAAAATGCTGATGAAGTTTCATCAGTTTATTTATTTATTTATCAGAAAAACCATAGACTGATGTGGAATGACCGCTCCCCGCTTAAAACGGGGGGCGCCCTTTGCGTGGACGCGCGCAGCCCCTGGATCTGGAGCGGCTCCATCAGCACAGGCTTGGCTTCGCCTTCCCCCAGGTGGGATACCTGGAGGTCTCCGCCTACCTCAGTCAGTTGTCCAATCCCGCTTGGGAGAAGCGTTGCCAAGGAGACCAGGCCAGGTAGGGGAGGGACTACCTGCCCACACAATAGAGGGAGGATCTTACCTGGGAATCCTCAGTTGGCTACAGAGCTTCTCCCACCCTACCCACCCTCAGTTAAGTCTTATTTTGCAGGTTAACTTTTCTTCACAGGTATGCGGGCGCTGCTATGTCAAGGTCGCTGTTGAAGGGCTGGAAAGGAATTCCCCTGCATTCGCAGGTTTTGCCTTTCCTGTAGCAAAACGTCACAACTTTGGCGGTATCAGGCCTTGGGCGGAATCCTTTAGTCTATCTTCCTCTTTGCAGCTGCAATACCAGGGTTCCCTGTTAAAAGGGTTTCTGAGGGGAAGCTTTGACCGTACGCCGAGAGGTCGTCATTGCTCTCCCCTGTGACAGCGGCATAACGGGGGTGGCTATCTCTGCTTGAACATATGTTCTCCAGAGCTGGCCCATCCCCCCCCCCACTGGATAACCCTGATGTTCCCTATGTCCCTGGCTGGGGACTGGGG